AGGAGGAGGCTCGGGATTGAAGGACCTCACGAAGGAGGAGGCTCAGGATTGAAGAATTTCATGAAGGAGGAGGCTCGGGACTGAAGGACTTCATGAAGGAGGCAGCTCAGGTTTGGCTCAGCAGTTCAGCAGCATCCCCAGGACGGGGACGGTCCATCTGTCTGCCCCACCAGCACAGCATCTTAGCTTCCATCTTCACTTTTCTCCCTCATGGTCACAGAATGGCGGCTAAAGCTCTGGGTATGGTGACCTTATATTGCATGTCCAAAGGCAGGAGGGATGCTCACTCCTCATGTATCTCCTATTAGCAACAAAACCTTTCCCAAAGTTCCCAGCAGACTTGTCCTCAAATCTCCCTGGCAACAGGGTCACATGCACACTGTCCCCCCTGACACTCACAGCAGAGGGGAATGGAAACAGACAGTTGGCAGGCCCCTGTAATGAACATATTGATCTTGACACCTGAAAAACTAGGGGATCTCTTAGCAATAGAAAGGGGAGAATGGCTCTGGGGAGGGAGGCAAGCAGTGTCTGCATACCTCCTTCCCAGCCAGCTAATGTCCCTGCTCCAGGACAGGCCCTGACACACCTCCCTCCAGGCCTCCTATCTCTCCTCTTCCAAGACAAGAAGCCTGGGTTAGAGGCCTGCAGACTTTGCTCCCAGCTGGGTGAGGAATGCTCCACGGTGGCCCAGATGACTTCAGGTATCTTAATGAAGGGCAACAAGACACACCACACGACCAAAGGGAATACTTCTGTGTGTCTGTCTGTGGAGACTTAAATAGACTCCTGCAGTATGCTCTGCAATGACAAAGAGGACTTCCTTGTAATATGCTCAGCCAGGGATAAGCTAAGGACATAGAATAACTAGGATGAGCTTAGAAGTTCCTGGACCTCAGAGTATTTATTTCTTCACTGGCCAGAGGAATGGTTTCCAGATACATGGCTCAGATGTCAAGAACTATGGCTTGTCATAGTGTACCGCGTCTCTCAGCCATAGCCTCTAGAAGTCTCTCTTCTGAAAAAAAATTTTTTTTTTTGCAGTTTTCAGCCAGGGCTGGGTTTGAACCCACTACCTCTGGCATATGGGGCCAGTGCCTTACTCTTTTCAGCCACAGACACCACCCCTCTTCTGAAATCTTGTAAACTAAGTTTCACGTACATTTAATGGAGCTAAGTATTTGAACACCAGAACTGAGCAAGAGTCTGATGGGAATACCTGGGACACCTGCATCCTGGAGCCTTGCTATCAGAAGATGATGAATTCAAATGGCAATTCCCTCAAGTCCTGGGCCTGAATGTTGATGGCAACCTCCATTGCTATTCATCACAGGTCCTCTTAGGCTATTATCACCCTAAACCATATTACTATAGTTCTATTTAATTGTAAATTTCATCAAATTGGCACTGTCCTCTGATTTCAATCTATAAAGACATATAAAATCTGATGTTTGACAGCCGGATTTCATTCTATGATTGGTGTCATATGCAAATCTGATCAATGTCCTTAACCTAATAACCACTAGAAATTCTAATCAGCCAGTCAGAGAAGCCACAATAACCTCTACAGGAAAATCCTTACTGTATAGTTTGATTATCAAGCCACAATTTTAAAAACAGCAATTAAAGATCCTGCAGACTCAATGAATCACAACACTTCTATGAAATGGTCCCATTTACTATGAGGTTGCAAGACTCAGCACCATCAAATTCTTAAGAAACTAAAGGCACTCCAACAAGTTATAGTAACTCTGCACACAGCTTGATACCTCTTTAAATCTGCCAGGACACCTGGAAAGTTGCTGAATCCCTCTCAAGTTCCATAAAACCTTCCTCTATCTATCACATCTTCATGTCAAGGAGCTACCATGGGCCCCTCTCCAAATGTACCCAGATTACAGGCAGAACTGGCTACAGTGGAAGGTGACATGAGAGACACACACCAAGAACTGCCCTCCCACCAAAGCTATACACCACAGGAGAGAACTCATCCTTCGTGAGGAGATCAGGGGCCAGTGGGACAGGGGCAGACAGTAGCCACCAAAAGCTTGGAGATACCTGCAACACTCCACACCATGTCCCAAACATACACAGCTGCCCCCATCCCATCGCACTGTGATTCTCTTAGAGAACTTTGCACACACCAAGACCAGCTTGCTTAGTTTTTTGTCTCCTCCTTCTAGAATATGAACTCCAAAAGGCTAGGAGCCTTGCACATCTGTTCACTGTGGAATCACAGCGCTTATCACACAGTAGATACTCAACACTTATTTGCTAAATGAATGAACATGTCCCCAGATGGTTCTCATTTAAATCCAAATTATCAAATTGACCATATTTTTGTTAAGTTTAATTAAAGACATGACTTTATTAAAAGACCTTATTTTATTAAATCCCCACTGAGACAGTTGGGTGTTGAATTACCAGTGTGACTGGCTGTCCCACTCCTCTTTGTGATAAGCAGGGATTACTCAAGTCACCATTCAATATTCTTACTTCAGATACATGGACACATCTACTCACATCAAAGGTTTTCCTTCATTTATCTTTTATTTAAATCAGTCAAGTCTCTTCTCATAAATGAGAAATATTAAATAAATGGCTGCTCTCATAAAATAAAGAAGTGACTCACAGAAATAATCTGCAACTCCCAAGAATAATCTTTTCCTTAGTAACTAAAACAATTAATACCCAATTAATACAGACCAAACACTATGTCTCTGACAGGGCACAGTGGCTCCTGCCTGTAATCCTAACACTCTGGGAGGCTAAGACCAGCCAAAGCCAGAGTGAGACTTGTCTCTACTAAAAATACCAAAAACTGAAGCAAGAGGATTGCTTAAGCCCAAGAGTTGAAGGTTGCTGTGAGCTATGATGTCACCATGGCACTCTACCCAGGGCGACAGCTTGAGACTCTGTCTCAAAAAAAAAAAAAAAAAATCGTTATATCTGTAATTTTTACAAAGGGGGCTCCAGTCCCCTGTTCACTTATCACTATCCCAGTGCAAGGACACTCAGGAAGCTAAGGCTCACAGACAGTAAGTCACAAGTCCATGGCTTCCTATTGATGGCAAAACACGGATCAGAACCCTGGTCTGGCTAACCAAGCTCACAATCGTTTAGTTCGCTACTAATCATTACTAATGGCCTTACTGTATCATGTGCCTTCTCTGAATACCACATTTCTTTAAATCTAAGATGCTGTCAATTGTATAACAGATGACAAACACCTACATGCTGTACACGCTGCCAATGAAAGCTATAAATAAAAACACCTTCAACTGGGAGATGTGTCACAATTTCAGAAAATGTTAAAACGCAAACACGTGTATACACACACATCTACATGCATGTGTTCACAGCTGACCAACCACCTCCTTAAGTTGACCCAATTTTCCTAGACTGGACATGCACCATATGTACACATCAGTACAGAACATCTAGGAGTTGACCACTTTGTTAGAGTCCCTGGGGTAGTCAACTTACAAAAGTTTCACTTTATACACATCTTAGATTCAATAAAATACAGTAATACAGTAATCTGGCCTTGGAAAAATTATTCCTAGGGAATGTTATCAAATATAAATGCCTCTCTGAAAAAGAAAATAAAAACAAAATGCCTCTCTCAATCTTTTAAAAAATGAATTTTGCCATGAAGTACAAAAAAGAAAGAAAACTTACATAGGATTAAAGCTCTAGGAAACGACAAGCATTTGCTAAGACATTACTCTCTAAAAATCACTCCTCCTCCTTGGTGGCATGAAGCGTGCTCTCTACTGTGAAGAGCGGCAGGCACCTCGCCTACCCAAGAAGGATGGTGCATCCTTCCTCCCTATCTTCTAACTTCTGTTTGTTTTCTCCAAAAGTTAAGGAAAGAAATAATTTCTCATTCTATACCAAAAAAAAAAAAATGCTTTGTTGCTAAAGACACAGCTGCTGTAAGTCTCCACAGACTCAGAGCTGACCACCACCCTCTGAGAAAGGCACTCTCAGCAAAGCGTACATCTGAACGACCAACTCAAGTATGCTGACCTTCAGGACCTCTTTTCACCTCCTCTAAAAGTCCTCGCATCATATGCCCACACAGTGTCTATCCCCTCCCCAGTGATGTGGTCTGGGGTCCAGTGTGGGAAAGGGAAGCGGCAAGCAATGACTCTCGCATCATCCTCAAGTTCAAGTTCGAGTTTCTTCTCCAACAGCTGCATCTGTGGGGAATAACAGCCATTAATTTCAGCGAGTGGTGAATCAAAGGAAATTATTCTAAAAAGTCCTTCTGTGTTTTAGGAGTCCCTGAAAATACTAGAACAAAAATTACTAGTTAAAAAGATCAAAAGAAGGGGAAAATAATAAATAAAATGATCACTTCAGGGCACAAATATAACACATTATAAAAAAATCCATTCAAATGCAGAAGACACATTAACCATAGTCATAAGGGTATCTTTGAGTATGAATTATAAAATGCACCACTTTAGGCATATTTGCAACATTTCCAGTTTTCTGACTAAAATCATGATGTGGCAGTCATTAAAATAAGAAATTGCTTTAAATTATTTACCTACTGAAACATTTCAATATACTCAGTCTCATATATCTAAGACATATTTTTCCATACTTTTAACATCCCTGAAATCAGGATACATGATACAATTGACGTTCTCTTAGAATTATAATTGGCAGTATTTCTTTCTTAACGGCAATGTTGCATCTTAAAATCCACATCATCTAAAGTCAATGAAATGTGGTATAATTAGGCCAGGAAAAACACATATACATTCTGTCAACTTGAAATACTATGAAATATTTCAAAATATTTCAAAATTGTTTTAAATGTATCCATATATACTGATAATGATTTTTCTTTAATTTTTATGTGGGGGAGTCCTCACTATACTGTGCCTGGGCTGGTCTTGAACCATGGGCTTCAAGCAATCCTCCTGCCTTGGCCTCCCAAACTGCTGGGTTATAGGTGTGGGCCACTGCACCCAGCCCTGATACTGAATTTCTTGATAGTCAACCTAACTTATATCACTTTTGTATTTTTTTTTTTTTTTTTTTGTAGAGATAGAGTCTCACTTTTGCCCTTGGTAGAGTGCCATGGCATCACACAACTCACAGCAACCTCCAACACCTGGGCTTAGGCAATTCTCCTGCCTCAGCCTCCCAGGTAGCTGGGACTACAGGCGCCCGCCACAACGCCCGGCTATTTTGTTGTTGTTGTTGCAGTTTGGCCGGGGCCGGGTTTGAACCCACCACCCTCAGTATATGGGGCTGGCGCCCTACCCACTAAGCCACAGGCGCCAACACTTTTGTATCATTTTATTGCCAGTCTACTGATAAAGAGTTTTTATTATTTACTAAAAGTATTGACATTTTAATTACATCAATAAATTAACACCTGCTTAAAAATATATTGATAACTATCACATCCCAAATACATTTTTTAGACTTTCTTTTTAACTTATTGAGATAATTTCAAACTTCCAGAAAAGTTGCAAGAATAGAACAACGAATTCCTGTATACCTCTATCAGGTTCAATTTTTAACATTTTGTCACATTTGTTCTCTTCCTTCCCCTAAGGACATTTCTCTAACCCGTCTGAGGAAAGGTTGCGTACAAAGCATGCTCTCCCTCATTCCTTCATACTTCCGTGTGTATTTTCTGAGGAAAAAAAATTTCTAACATTATCCTAGCACATATATTATATTCAGAAAATTTAACATTGTGTTCCAATGATAATAATTCCAATAAAACTCTTAATTTTGTCACTGTCCTAGTAATGTCCCGTATGACACTTCCCCAGGGCAGGATGACTTTCACGTGTAGCTGGGAGGGTCCTTTGCTCTCCTTTGATCAGGAGCAGTTCCTCCATCTGTCTTTGTCTTCCGTGACAATAACGTTCTTTAGTGATCAGACCCCACGGCCCTCACTTTGGGCGCTCTGGTGTGTGTTTCTGACTTGTTCCATGTGGATACAACCCCCTCTGCAAGGCTGTGAGTAACCAGGGATCCTCCGAGGCCCGGGAGGTCCTCTTGCTGGTGACATTAACCACTCAGTGAAAGTAGAATCTGGGGTCCACACAGTGTGGCTAATATTTTTCTTTTTATATACTTAATCAGTTGTTTGTAAAAAGTTATTTTCAGATGATGTAAACATCCCATTACTCATCAGACAGTAGCCATCACTGATGAATCTAGCCAGAATCAATTTTTACTACACTGGCTGCAAAGTAGCAATTTGCCCATTCCATCAAATCTTTCAGATGCATTTCCTCTGGGCGCGTGTCAGCATTCTACTATAGGGACGAGCTTTCCCTTCTCCCTCCCTCCATTTACCTATCTATCTACCATTAAGTCTGAACACCTAGATTCTTATTTCATCCGATGGCTTATGATCCACTGTATCATTGTTCTTTCTCATGCTCAAATTTCCTTAATGTGGCCACAGGGAGCCTCTTGCAGCTGGCTTCTCTGTCCTTTGGTCATGCTGCCATCAAATATTTTGAGCATTTCCTCATACTCTGGCTCAACAACATGATCCAGGCTTTTGTATCTTCCCTTTCCCAGCCTCAGATTATTTCTCAAAAATTCTTGGTTCCACTTACTGATATTTAGAAACCAAGATCTAAGCAAAAACTACTTCCTTTAAAAGTAACTAATCAAAGCAAGATGAACGAATCAATAGTGCTTTCCATGAAGGTTTTCTTCCTGACCTATATTTTATAAAAGTGCTTAGAAAAATTCCTCAACACAACCTGTGGCTAGAGTGAAGCAAACTTCTAATTCTTCATTAGAATCAATACCAAGACAACAAAGATAAATTTCATTAAGCATGGAAAGATTTCTACTCCTTTAACAGCCAGTAAAGAATTAAAATTAAAAAAAAAAAAAGTTTTGCTACTTAAGGGAAAAATTAAATAAGCAAAGAATGAAACAATATGCATTTTTCCAAAATATCAGAGATTTCTTATGGCAATTTTGTTCATAAAAAGGCTAATTGTAAACTTATTCATATTACTATTATTCTTTTCCCTTTTACAGTTTCTTTTATTTCCAAATGATTGTCATATGCTAAGTCAAGATAAAACTAAAAATGAAAGGAGCTTTTCAATCATAAGAAATTAACTGACTAAATTACACATAAATATGCAACGAATCTGTTTCTTGATATCACACACAAAGAGAAGCAGTGATGTGTCCTGTCTGGCTAATGGAATTCAGAATTATTCATACAATTATAGGCTTCGAAGTAACATGAACTCATCATATTCTAATTATATCTTCAAAACTTTAAACAAAAGCAGAAACCACCTCAAAGGCATAAAAGGACCAGCCGTGCCCCCAGCAGCCCTGACTCACCAGAACCGCCCCCCGCCCCTAGCACTTGCTTCATTTGGGTAATTCACTCCAGCACGTCTCCCTCCCAGGCTTCTCTCTCGGGATCCTTGCTGGCTGCCCCTTATTTCCCAGACTGCTAATGTCAGAGTCCAGGGCCCAGGCCTTGGATGGCTTCACTCATGTGCTCCCCTCATGGGATCACAGCCACTCCTGGGCTTCAATGCCCAACCCTAACAAACAAATATCACCAGCCCCTGCTCGTGGTCCCCAGACTCCTCCTTCCCCGGGACCACCATCCTGACATGCCCATGCACCCCCAGACTCCCCGTGCCCCCACTGAACTAGCCAGCTCTGCCTGCATCTTCTGCAACATGATACATGGGAAACTTTAGGAGCTCTGGCCAAACACTGAGGTTGCCTGTGAGCCCTCTACCTCTTCCCCATGTGGGATCCGCCAGCTAACCCTGCTTGTTTTATCTTCACAGCACTCCCAGAATTTGACCCTCTCTCCAGTCACAGCATCTCCTGGACCCTTGCAAGAGCCCCCAGCCTCTCTCCCAGCTTCTGCCCACATTTGCCATCTAATCTCCACAAGGCAGCCTGTGTTCCTCCTTCTCAACCCTGGATGGTCCCCACTGCTCAGCCAGCATCCTCCCCGCTCCAGCCCCGTGTCCTCTGACCTGCCCTCACTCTCGCCATGGCCCTGCCTGCTGCTCTCATCCCACAGAAACACTCTCTCTCACCCCCAATGTCACCTTTGGCAGGATACTGTCCCTTGCTACAGACGGCTCCATAGCACCCCCTCCGCAGTGTACTATGGTACACTGGTGTCTCACGTAACATCTGCTCGTCCCATTGGCATCTGAGCACCTCAGTACAAGGATATTCTCTATTTTACTCACAAAACTACTCCATGTGACTAGAACGGGGACTGGCCATGGTGGCCACACTTATGGAATGAATGAAAGGTGACTAAACAATTCAGTCGTGAATTAGCTTTCTTTATTAGAACACGATGATATTTTTATTCATCAACTCGTAACAGAATTAAAGTGAAAATGGTAACTTCTTTGAAGTTATGAAAGTGAACAGCCTCTCACACACTGGCACAAAGAGAAGCAAAGGTCAGAGAGAGTCAGGAAGGGAGGGGTGCAATGAATATTCAGAAAACAGGTGCTAAAAGCCCCGACTTACACATTACACAAGGTGTCCCAAACACAAAAACATTTGTACACCCTTACTACTTTAAAATTTTTTTAAGAAGTTAAGTTGCCTTCTGGGAAAAGCACAAGTAGCAGGTGTGTTTGGGCCATGTGCATTACTCAGCACCTATCTACAGAGTGGTACAGCCGTGCAGTGAAGACGATAGGCCTGGTCCCCAACCTTGATCTTACCCTGCAGTACATCCAGCAAACACTGCCACAGCCACCAGGTAAGTAAACATACAGTGACATATGCAAGGGCAGGGCAGAGTATGCCACAGGAGCAGAAAAGAGCAGGCACTGGCACGCGCCCCCCTTTGGGCCATCAAGGGCAGCCCTGCAGAGGAAAAGATGCTGAGAGTAAGTAGTCAGCGGTGTTCACTCAACGGGCCCAGGCCCAGGGGGACACTAAAGTAGGGGGGGCAAGATACAGCCCCAGGCTCTGGGAAGATGAGCTCGGAAAATTCCAGGGGCTGAGAGCCAGAGAGGCACAGCCCAGGTGAGTCTGACGGTGAATGGAAACCAGTCCACTCCTTGGGCCACACTCAGGCATTATCCTTAAAAGCTGTGACAAATCACAGAACCGCTGTAAACAAAGACATCTTGGTTTGTTCTGCATTTTGAAAGATGTTCCTGGTGCATAAGCTTGTGTAAACATGGGAGTATACAATCCTCAGATTGGATTGGCCAGACCCAAAGGGGATTCCTCAGCCTTTCACATTAACTACATCCCTGTGCTGAACTATTAGGACACTGATGATTTTGAGCTATTAGGGATGACTGGCCCAGTACCAGAAGCATGGGTGATGACTGATGACCCCGGCTCTGGACCCCTCCAAGGCTCCTCTGGGCTCCCTAAGTGTCTACTGTGCATCAGCTGCCCCGGGAAACATTTCAGGGTACGCTAGCTTTATTGAGCCAGCCAGCTGCGACTGACATACTCACTGACGCAGCACGCTGTCCCTGTCCCTCACCGCCTTCCACTTAAGACACTTGATGAAGGTTGAAAGTGGGGGCCCTCCACACACGAAATTCAGCCTTCCAGACCAGTGGAAGCATCCGGGCCCTCTGAACCCCTGATCACCCCAGCATGGCAACATGGGGATGCACTTCAGCTGCTCCACTTTTTTCTTGGGAACAGTCAAATGCTGCACGTCCCTTATTTAAAGATTTCTCTGTGTACAGAAAAATGGGCAACAATTGCAAAGGCATTCATCAAAATAAGAAGACTCTTACTTCCCCTGAGCAAACAGCTCCAAAAACTGAGTCTACCTCAGACATGACAAAAAGCACCAGGATGCTGTGTGGCAGTGCTGACTTCCAAAGGCCACTGCTGCCCCCTGCTGGACCCGGCAACTCCACAACTTCATAATCCCCGCCCTGGGTTCCTCACCCTGCCCTCCAGACAGGAAATACTTTCTATTTTTATAAAGCACGGATTCAAATTAAAGTGAGTAGTCTCCAAAAAGCTAACTTCCATTTTAGAAGGAAAGCTTAGCATCATCATAAGTAGTAAATTACACCAAAATTCCACATCAATTCTATGATCCCAAGTGGGTGGGTGGTTGTCTCTTTTTTAAATAAGCATGAACTGTGCCCTTCCACCTCAATTCACTTCTATAACAAAAGTGAAGATACCCAAGTTTGGTCTAAATTTTTAGGTCTAATGAGAATTAAATGTACAGAATATTATTACTTTCAAGAATATTTAAGAAAAGTGTTTCTAAATTGTCTTTAGAAGTTAAAGAACATCGCAATACACTGAAAGAAACAAATTTCTCAAGCATCTTAAGAAACTGAAACATCTTATATAAAAATTAAGGTATAAGAACAAAACAACAAAAAAAGTAAATTTCCTTTTGTTAAATTAAAAACCGTATCAGTTATACAGTGGCATTTCAGCCAACATCCAATTCCACCAAGATCATAATGGTTACAATTATAGACTCTGAAAAGTAAAAAGGGATTTCTTTCTATGGTCAGTAAACCAGCAATTACAGTAAAAGCATCCCACCATGACCATCTTTCCAGAGGCTAAAGAGGGCCATTTTCTGCACAAAGCTGTGGTATTTTCACTGTTTAAAGTACATAATCAAAGTTCAATACTCCATTCTTTGAGAAATCAGTAAACTGAGATAAATTGAAACTAGTCAATGCTCATCCACCCTTAAAATTATCTTCCTGCAAAATCAGAGGGATGATCAATTCCAAGAGAACATCTCATTAACTTTCCCGGGTGATTCCAGTTGGGTGTGAGTGAACGGCCCTGAAATTGCAAACTACATGAGACACTGGGATCTCATAAAGCCGTTTCCAAACTGGAACGGTTAACGCTTAGGTAGATCGGCAAAAATTTTATCTAAAGCCAAAATGTAAAACTATGACTGAATTTTTTTTGTATTAAACCTTAAGACTCCAAAGTATTTTATTAAACCAGTGAACTGAAAACCAGCGTTCCCTAAACTCTCTGGGAGGCCATCCCTTGGGGCCTGGAAAGACCTTTGACACCACCTAACCCAAACACAGAACAGGAAAGTGGGTACTCACCATCTGCGGCACACCAAAAATGACTACATTTGAGTACGGCGAAAAAGTCACCTAAATGGGATGAGGAGATAATTGGTAGGTGAATTGTAAAAAGCGAAACATGAAACTTAACTTGTTTCACAAAAATGTTAGCAATATTTCATTTTGCCAAATGTTGAGTTTGGTAAAGTCGAGTGTCAGAAAGGCCAGTGATGCCCCAGTGACCAGCTGGGGAGGGTCAAGCTGGTGGCACCTAGGCCATTCACTCCCACTCTACACCAAGCCAGCTTCACAAAAACACATGGGACTTTAGGGCCAGCTGTTTTCTTATTGGTGAACCATCCTGAAAATTCTAGTCCCCTCCTCTTCTCTAAAATATTGTGTAAGAATTCAATAAAATAGTCTTCAGTTGAAAAACTGGGAGTGAAAGTACTCTGCCAGTCAAAATTCTTATTGCCAATAAAATTCTTACTCTGCAGAGAGAGCATTTACGTATACGTGGTGAGAAACAACGTAAGGAAAACGCAAGTGAACTTCCACGAGCAGCTGAGAACAGTAACAGAAAATTCGTATTTAAGAAAAAGCATATCGGCTCGGCGCCTATAGCTCAACCGGCTAAGGCGCCAGCCACGTACACCTAAGGTGGCGGGTTCGAATCCCCAGCCCGGACCCGCCAAACAACAATGACGGCTGCAACCAAAAAATAGCCGGGTGTTGTGGCGGGCGCCTGTGGTCCCAGCTACTTGGGAGGCGGAGGCAGGAGACTCGCTTGAGCCCAGGAGTTGGAGGTTGCTGTGAGCTGTAATGCCACGGCACTCTACCCAGGGGGACAGCTTGAGGCTCTGTCTCAAAAAAAAAAAAAAAAGAAAAAGCATATCATGGGCCCTAAAACAAAATAACAGGGCACTTTTTAGAGTACAAATAAGTTTGGAAGTAATATCTCATGTTTTATGAGGACAAGAAATAGCCGTGACAGTATGACTGGTGGATTATTTTCTCTATCACCCATCTCTGTGTCACACACACACACAATCATGGAAAGGGCTGGTATTTTTCAAGAATGATTTATAAGACTTCCAAATGAGATGGAAAATCTCATTATTTTCTAATAAAGAGAAATGAGTACATTTTAATTTAGCAAATAAATTCTTGGAATTCACATGATGTACCATGTAGAAAACTTTAAGTTTCTACTCTGAAATCGTCTATCTGTAAAATCTATCAATTTAAAATGTGTACATATTTCATGTCAAAATAGCTACTTGGATTTTAATTATTTTTCAGTGTTTTTCAGTTTTACGTCACAGTCGTTACAAACACTGGATTCCTCTGACACCATTCTTTGCCTTACATACCTTCCACAAATCCGAAATATAAAACTTGGCAGAGCCATGCACACCTTCTCGCCAAGCACGGTACCTGGAATACCAAACCAGCCATGGGTTTAATTCATAACCAACAGCCGTGAATCCTTCCTTTGCAGCTGCTATGACCTGTGAAGAGAGGCCAGGATTTATTCAAAATAAGAAGAAAAAAATCAACTTACATAGTCAAATTATACAAATATGTCTTGTTTATGGTTTATAATCCTAAAACATTCAATCCAAAGTATCTCCTTTATTCAAGACACCATTTAAAAATGTATCTCTAAACATAGATGCAAAAATCTTCAACAAAATACTAGCAAACTAAATTCAACAGCACATCAGAAAGATAATTCACCATGATCAAGTGGATTTCATCTCAGGGAGGAAAGCATGGCTTAACATACACCAATCAATGAACATGATTCACCACATAAACAGAAATGAAAACAAAGACCATATGAGCATTTCAACAAATGCAGAAAAAGCATTCAGTAAAATCCAGCACCCTTTCATGATAAAAACCCTCAACAAACTAGGCATAGAGGAAACCTAGCTCATAAGATATACATGACAAAACCACAGCCAACATCATACTGAATGGGGAGAAGTTTAAAGCATTCCCCCTAAGAACTGGAGCAAGAAAGAGTGCCTGTCATCACTTCTGAACGACATAGTCCTGGAAGTCCTAGCCAGAGCAATCAGCAAGAGAAAGAAATAAAGGGCATCCAAATAGGAAAATAAGAGATTAAACTATCCCCGTCTGTTGATGACATGATCGTGTATCCAGAAAATACTAAAGATTCCAACAAAAGACTCCTAGAATTGATAAATTCAGCAAAGTCTCGGGTTACACAATCAAAGTACACATATTAAAAACAATGGA